TCACTTGAGCTATTTCAAATACTAAAAGATCATGGTGTGAAAGTGCTGCACTCAGTATGCCAGCAAATTTGGAAAACTCAGCAGTGGCCACAGGACTGGAAAAGGTCAGTTTTCATTCCAATCCCAAAGAAAAACAATGCCAATGAATGTTCAGACTACCATAAAATTGCACTCAACTCACATGCTAGCAAAGTAATGCTCAAAATTCTCCAAGTCAGGCTTCAATAGTACATGGACCATGAATTCCAGATGTTCAAGCTGGATTTAGAAAAGGCAGAGGAACCAGAGATCAAATTGCCAATATCTGTTGGATCATTGAAAAAGCAAGAGAGTTCCAGAAAAACATCTACTTCTGCTTTATTGACTATGCCAAAGTCTTCGACTGTGTGGATCACAAGAAACTGTGGAAAATTCTGAAAGAGATGGGCATACCAGACCCCCTGACCTGCCTCCTGCGAAATCTGTGTGCAGGTCAAGAAGCAACAGTTAGAACTGGACATGGGACAATGGACTGGTTCCAAATCAGGAAAGGAGTACGTCAAGGCTGTATATTGTCACCCTGCTTATTTAACATGTATGCAGAGTACATCATGCTAAATGCCAGGATGGATGAATCACAAGCTGGACCAAGATTCCTGTGAGAAATATCAATAACCTCAGATATGCAGATGACACCATCCTTATGGCAGAAAGTGAAGAGAAACTAAAGAACCTCTTGATTAAAGTGAAAGAGGTCAATAAAAAAGCTGGCTTAAAACTCAACATTCAAAAAATGAAGATCATGGCATCCGGTCTCATTATTTCATGGCAAATAGATGAGGAAACAATGGAAACAGTGACAGACTTTCTTTTCTTGGGCTGCAAAATCATTGCAGATTGTGACTGCAGCTATGAAATTAAAAGATGCTTTCTCCTTTGAAGAAATGCTATGAACAAACAAGACAGCATATTAAAAAGGGGAGACATTATTTTGCCAAGAAAAGTCCGTCTAGCCAAAGTTATGGCTTTTCCAGTAGTCATATATGGACATGCAAGTTGGACTATAAAGCTGAGCACCAAAGAATTGATGCTTCTGAGCTGTGGTGTTGGATAAGACTCTTGAGAGTCCCTTGGCCTGCAATGAGATCCAACCAAGCCATCCTAAAGGAAATCAGTCCTGAATATTCAATGGAAGAGCTGATGCTGAAGCTGAAACTCCAATACTTTGGCCACCTGATGCGAAGAACTGACTCGCTACATAAGACCCTGATGCTGGGAAAGATTGAAGGTGGGAGGAGAAGGGGACAACAGAGGATGAGATGGTTGGGTGGCACCACTGACTCAATGGACATGAGTTTGAGCAAGCTCCGCGAGTTGGTGATGGACAGGGAGGCCTCGCTGCTGCAGTCCGTGGGGGTTGAAAAGAGTCGGACATGAAGGAGTGACTGACTGAATACACATACAGAAAATTTTACAGATCATAAGCTCTTGTGGTAGGCTGAAGCTATCTTTCACCTATCAGGCTGGTACTACTTACATTCACTGCTTCACATACTTTTGGGACAACAGGGAAGCCTGGTGTGCATGCAGTCCATGGGGTTGCAAATGGTTGGACATGACTGAGTGACTGAACTGACCTGAGGTGTGGACATAATTTTTCCGGTAACACGAAGAAACATCAGTGATCTCTTAATTCTTTTCATTTTTGCGGTCCTCTCTGTCTTAACTAATTTCTCTTTCTTCTATTTCTCTCTTCCATCTCTCAGCTCTAACTGCCACAATGTGTTCTTGGCTGCAAGATGCCAGAGGGGAGTGAGTCTGTAGAAGCAGAAGTTTGCAGGTAAGTGCAAGTTGGTGGCTGTTGTAACCAGTGTCAACAAGACACTCATTACTCAAATGTGGTCCTGCAGGCAGGCCCTGAGTTCTCAGAACTCTTTGGTGAGTTCTCAAAGCTCAGATGTGAGACCAGAAAGTAGAAGTTCTGCCTCAGAGGACTATGGAGCAGCCTGAATGGACATAAGCTCTAATTGTCCTCATGGTTTTACCTGCAGGACAGCACCACGGGGTGTAGTCAACCAGTCAACACTAGGGTCCCATGTCCATCACAACCTGTGATGGAAGTCCAGCACCCGTCTCACCCCTCAGTTTCCTTCATCTCCCAAGTGAAACCACAGAAATAATAGTGTCTAGTTCATGGAATAATTAAAGTTAGGTGAGAAGTGTGACCCCAAATAAGCACTCATTCTAGCAACTGTCTCATTATTTGTAATCATTATAAGATTTTGACTTGGATACATTGATGTAGGTGATTTCCTCATTAATTTGTTTTGAGCAAATGCTTTTCAAACTTTTGAGAACAACACATTAGTGAGTCATGAAGTCAATTTAGTAGATAATCAGCATTGAAAAAAAATGGAATAGAATAATAATTTTGAAAAAACAGAAGACACTGCACATAAAAATCTAATGTAAAATGCATTGCTCACTGTGCTCTGAGGTCAAATGAATTTGAAAAATGACTTGAAGCCAAACAAACATAACAAATGGAAAATTTTTCCCGACCTTCCTCTCTGTTCTATTCATTCTGCCCCTTTCAGATAAAGAGAACAGAACCTGGGGGTTTTTGGAAACCAGCTGTAATGAGAGCAGTTTTTCTCTTAAAGATTGATAAAATGTCTGAACTAATATTTATTTTTTTTATTTCTTTAATTTTACAATGGAATATAGTTGATTAACAATGATGTGTTACTCACAAGTGTATTTTGATAATGCATGAGCCTGCTGGGCTGGTGTAAAAACTCAGAGGAAGTGGTTAGAAAAAGTTCATTCAAAAATCTCCATATGCTACCACTTCCCAGGTATATGGGGCAAAGGATGGAGGCTTGTTAGGACTAACCAGGCCAAGGATTTCATTTGTGTTTTTGTCTGAAACTTTTTCTATGGTTCAAGTACCTAGAACTATGACAGATGGCCAGAAGGCCTTTATGTTTCCTTTACTTCTATAAACCTGTCACTTAAAATTCTGACATTAAGTAATGCTTGGGGAGAAAACCTCATCATGTTTAGTCTTCCGAAGTGAGTGAAGAAAAGTGAAATCATTTTGAATTCTCATTTTTAAAAAAATTATAGAGTTTGTCAACGTTTATGTATTTCTGTGTCCATTTCCACTGTCTCTTCATGAATATATTCAATGTATGTATATATAGCTTTGTATGGGTAGCCAAATACAATGAAAGCAAAACATAATACTAATTAAAAACATATGGGAAAGCCAGGCTTGGAAGCAGAATTAGGTTGCTTGAACTGGTGTTTGAAATTTATGCCCAAGGAACTGGTTTATCACTAACTTGTAAGATCTACACTTTTCCCCCCTGGTATCATTTAATATGGAGAAACCACTTATAAATAATCGTGATAGTGTAATTGTATATGTTGCTGTTGGTTTAGGTTATTTTATTTGGTATTTCCTTTTGTAATATTAGGAGCCATTCATTATAAATACCTTTAGTTCCAACAGAATTAGCCACCTAATATTAATCAGAGAAAAACATTATTTAGAAAATATGACTCAATATACATCATGGGGTAATTTTCCTCTTTGCATCATGATTTCGATTGAAATACATCTGAAGTGCTAATTATAGAAATTGTAGGAATCCCACAGAGAGCTTTGTTGGAATCGAAACCATACGCTCTGAGCTGGATGTCTATTACCTAATGCATAGCAGATCACCATTTTTATTACATCGGCTAATGTGTATCTCTGTAGTATCTTTAAAGAAAGATAGAAAAGAATAAAATATCTGTATCTGTTTGTAGTTAGATATAGGCATATATAAAGATATATGCAGATCTGAATCTATACAAATTTGCATAAATATCATGATAGTTTCATTTTATATGGTCGTTTTGCGATGGTCGATGTCTATTATTCCCTCCTTAAGTTTTGGTACTTGTGAGTTTGGAGGTTACAAATAGTGATCTAGGGGCTGGGAATGTTTTGGGATTCAAATATAGTTGGATGGGTTAAGCCTGAAAGTGGATGATGGAGAGGTCCTGAATTAGTGTGTGATCAAATTGTTAGATTTCTTCCTAGGAGACTCATAGCCAAATTCTTCTCAACCACTTGTTCCCTCTGAGACCCTAGACAAATTATTGAAATTCCTAAATCTGAATGGAGTAAATAATAACTTTAGAAAATGTGTTTCCCATCCTCTCATTACAGGTAGATTAGCAGACATATTAAAGACCAAGGGGAGGTAACTAAATCCAAGGGTAAATATGTTTTACTTAGATTGGGACAGCCATATAGTAGATTGCTAACTATCCCTGGTGAATCCAACTTTGAATATAAACATACTCATACACATCCTTCTCACAATAACTGTGAGCTCAATCATGTGACTTGCCTTGTCCAATGGGGCATTAGAAAATATAGCAGAAGCAGACACTTGATAAGTACTTGTTCACTGGGGATTAACTGCTCAGGATGTTGCTATGGTTATGAAAGATACAGGGTTTACTGCTGCAGAAGTCACGTGAAGGAGAACCCAGCCAACTGTGCTTGCTAACCACAACCTGCACAGATCAGCCTTGGCCTCACCACCAGATGACTATAGCCACCCAAGCAATACCAACAGAAGAACCACCCAAGAGAGCAAAGCCCCATGAGAAGAATTGTGATCAAATTATTATTTCAAGTTTGGGGTTGGTTTGTACCTTGTAATAGATACCTGATACATTCAGTTATCTGGTAGGATAAATGTTTTAGGCTGTTGTTATTGAAACCAATAAATGATACCTAGGAGTTAACAATCACATAAATTAAAAACATGCACCACTTGCAGATAAATGAGTTAAAATAGCAAGTGCACAAAGCATAATCAGAAAACAGATTTAAAAACTGAATAGCAAACATAGAGTTGTCGTTGTGAACAAATTTTCCATGTTAGATTACTACTTTGTGGTGTATACAGAAAATCAACATATGTTACATATGTGTATATATATATATAACTTACTGAAACATGACTTTCTGTGAAGCATATGCTGGAAAATCTTGCACAAGGATTCTTCACTTTGAGTAATGGTACTACAGGTGCATTGCACTTGAAGGACCGTCCCAAGGGTACCAATGTAAGCTGCCTTGCAGTCATCACTTCCAGAGCAAGTGAGGTCTTGCTTGCTTAAGGTACCAATGCATGTCTCATCCTCATGGCACTTTCTCATCACATGCTGCCAGCACTTTGCCTGGAATGTTCCATAGCGCCTCCTAGAAAGAGTTAGGAAATGGAATGAGTCTCTGAATATAATTAATTCACACTAACATGTAGTGATATCTCACCTAACAAAGAAAGAAAGAAAGTGAAGTTGCTCAGTTGTGTCCAACTCTTTGTGACCCCATGGACCATAGCCTACCAGGCTTCTCTGTCCATGGGATTTTCCAGGCAAGAATACTGGAGTGGGTTGCCATCTTCTCTGTGGGAATCTTCCCAACCCAGGGATCCTGCATTGTAGGCAGACGCTTTACCCTCTGAGCCACCTGACATAAAACAAAATGCCTTCTGGATGCTTCTAAACATAGCTAGAAACTAAGTTTGTACATTCAAACGTCCCAATAGAGTGTGTAGAAGAAAAATTAGAGAAATTTTGTGAATTATTTTCCTTCCGTGATGAAAGACAGAGGCTAAGTTTAGGATTCCCTGGGTGACTCTTCCTTCCTTACTAATTTTATTTCAGTGGGTGATGATTTGCAGTACGAACTACTTGGGAGATTTATTAGCGATAATTTTTGAAGCAGAATGTGGTTTTGAGACTATATTTGACCATTACCTCCCACCAAGTGATCTCAGAAAAGACTCCTGACTTTTCATGAGAGTTCTCCCATAGGATGGGAGGCCCTGTGCTCTTTCTCAATGTTTCTAGGCAGACTAATTAGAATTAACATTAATGCTCTGGGGTTCTCTGGCAGCATGAGCTAATTTAAAGCAAAACATGAGTTTATTTGATAGCTGAGATAGTCTGCTAGAACCACATCCATTCATAAATTTTCTGACTACATACTTCATTCTTGCTGTATTAACCTTGAATAGAAGTCTGGATAATGTACAATAATTTCATATTTGAAACTTTCACAGTAAGAAGATATCTACTCAGTGGAACCAAGGATATTAATCTTTCTCTGTAATATTTATCACCTATGATTATTTTTTTTCCTTTTCTTGAATAGATCACTATAAAACATGCATGGAAAGCCTGTGAGTATATGCCATTTGTCCTGACTTTACTTGCTTTCATGATGTTACTCTGCTTAAAGCCATAAATCACGTCATTTTTAATAATCTTGTATTTTAAGTCATCTTAAAGGAATCAGATTTTAAATACAATGGTAAAAATTAACATATATTTATATTTAAGAAAATATTGCAAATATTTGAGCATATAATTCTGAATCCAGAAGAACAAGTATGTTCCTTTAATGCAGTTGAGAATTATGTATAAAATGCCATCTAAATGTAAACACTGGCAGTATTGATTGTCATTTATGAGGTTGAGAGGTGCCATTTATTCTTTCTTAAATGTATGTTTACAAAGTTTAAGTTACATGATTTATGTCTTCATAAAACTTATTTCATTCAAAAAAGTTTTGAAGGTGGGAGGGGGGTTCAGGATGGGGAACACTTGTAAATCCATGGCTTATTCATGTCAATGTATGGGAAAAACCACTACAATATTGTAAAGTAATTAGCCTCCAACTAATAAAAATAAATGGAAAAAAAAAGTTTTGAAATTTTGAAAAACCGGCTAACTGAAGGATATTTAATTAAAAATAAAAATATAAAAAAACTCATTGGTATACTCATTATCTAAATCATTTGAAAAATAAATATGACAAACATTTTATATTATAAGAATTTTCATTTCTGTTTGAAATGCTTTGATGTGTAACTGTTTCATTATCCTTATTTTCTTGATATTCTTCAGTTTCTTATTCTGATTTTTTATTTGAAACATTATCTAAGGGAGTAATTTTTAAAATAGAGTTGATCATTTTGTTTTAGTTTTGCTATAAATTTCTGGTTGCATCATAAGCCATAAGAGAATGTGGTCTGTGTGATTTCTGCATATAGAATGTATTACATTTGCTTTTGTGACCTAATATATAGTCAAACTTTGTGAATATTCTCTGGCACTTAAAGATGTTTATGGTGAAGTTTTGTTTCTAAAAAAGTAGGTAACATTTCTTCTAAGCAAACATTTTTTTCACTACTTTCTGGAGTTTATACATATGAAAAACCAATTTCCTATAAATCCCTAAATACTTATATTTGACAAAATATAATCTCACTTTCCAGTGTATATATCTGTATTGAGCAAAATTAATTGAAAAAATAGTCTTTATATCACCTTTTTCGGTCTTTTCAAAGACAGAGGAGTTTTAAAATCTGTCATAAATGGAGGAATCGTATACAGACAGAGATTGTATTTTAAATTCTAACTGTTCTGCTTTGCTCCAGGTATAAGCACTTCTGCAGGAAAGATATTTGATAAATTCTTAACACTCTCACTGAAGAAGTTGTTTTTCATTGGGAGATTTTTTTTCCATCGAATTACATTAACAATAATTTAATAAAAATACTGGAAATCTCCCTAAGGCAAAATATGCTGGAGCAAATGACAGAATTTGTCTTTTCATCTTGACAGCTAATATTGTATAATATTTCCATCTCCTCTATAAAGTATTCATTAAGAGACTATTTGCACATGGTGAAAAGAAATAGAAGACACACAGTCCTTAATCTCTAAATTAATATACAAAATGTAGAAATTACATAAGAAGAGACATGTGTCTGTATGTTAAAACATTATAAACATTAAGAACAAGATACTTAAAAATGGAGGGAAATGAGGTGGCATTTTAAAAATTTATTTATTTATTTTAATCGGAGGCTAATTACTTTACAATATTGTAGTGGTTTTTGCCATACATTGACATGAATCAGCCATGGCTGTACATGTGTCCATCTTGAAGGCATATCATGTTCTAGACCCTGCACTACGCACTTTGGAGAGATCAGGAAACCCAGGGTTTCTTGTAGAGGAAAAGTAGCAACTCTGTACCAGTTAATCATGAGCCACGGTGAGGCTCATGCAAGAGTGTATGTTTCAGAATCCATCACAGAGCTTCTCAAAGGTCTATAGCAGCAGACTCCATCACTCACATTAAAATATTTTATTTTATAGGGAAGCTCAGTTATGTCATGCTGAGAAAATTGAGTACAAATCAATCCAAGATAATAAGGTAGAATACCCATTACCTTGGCACTGGAATCAGGTAAAGCTGGGTACCCACCATGGAGACATCTGGCATTTTTACATGGACCACTTAAAAAAAGTGTTCCTTGGCTGGTTAAAATGTTATTTGGTTTCACTGTTAGTGTAGATAGATATATGACAGATAGTAATATTCTATGAGAATATTAGTGCAAGCAAACATTTTTACCATATTTCCTTGATTATAGGTGATAGCATTACTTTATTACACCTAAAATCACTTTGGCAATTAAGTTATTGTTTTCATTAAATGCATTTTAATTTTTTATTAATTGTTTGTCATTGAGCTTAAGACTAATTCCAAACACATTAGGGGAATTAAAAGGTGCAAAAAGTCTGCATCTTTGAATTAATGAAATACAATAGTTCACTTAATAAGAATTTTTAAGCTATAAAAGAGTTTGAAAAAAGTAAATTGCATTATAAAAATATTTTTTGATGTTAATTTTAGTATTATCTCAAGAGAAAGGAATAGTAAATTTAAACTAACTGATAAACATTTACAGGACAAGATCCTTGAACAAAACTTTCTTAAGAATTTTGGCATTCTCTATGGTACATTGAAGGAAAAAAAGCTCAAGCATTCTGCTGAGATCTTCACCCTTTATCTTATAGAATGTGCATTATAAGGAAGTAGTTGTCTTTTTTGACAAATATTTGCAAGACCTGGAGCTACTTTGTAAGCTGGAATGACTGACAGTGAAGGTGTGAGGAGATTTAAAGTTAAAGGAAAGCACTTAACCAAGAACCAGCCCTTTAGGAAATGATGTCACTAAATCTCATTTTCCAGTGGTTCAAGCAGGTGACAAAAGTGACAAATCTCTCCTTGAGCTACCACACTGAGCCCCTCCTCCACACTAAATGTTTATTTTGATCTTTAAATGAATTCTCTATATATAGAGTTTTACTCATTTAAATATAATTAAGCAATACTTTCCCTGATAGAAAGTACCGAGCAAGAAAACTAGTATAAATTATCTTGGGATGATTATCCTAGGAAGCAGAAGATTCATCCCATAATTACACAACTGAATGCTGGTTTTTAAAGAAAGCTCCTTTAACGTGGTAACACCAATGTTACAGATAGTTTTGACTCTATTCTTTCCTCCATCTTCTTACTCACTTCCAAAGAGGCCCACTTCACTGTGGCTTTCTTACCACACCTAAGATCAATTTTCCTTGAATTTTTAAGGAAATGTGTTTATCGAAGACCACAGTGAGGAAAAGAGAAAGTCAGGGTGTTGGATTCAATTTATGATTCCCAGGAGGAGTTACCTGCAAAGGTAAAGTCTAGATTCCACTAGCAGCCGGAGTGGAAATTTTAATAAGTTGAGCAGATCATTCACACCTCTGCTCAAAATCCCTCAGCATGGCTCTGCTTTCTCAGAGTAAATCCTATCTCCTATTCCTCTGCGCCTTGTATACGCCTCCTCCTTGCATCAGAGCCTGCCACGTACATTTCTTCCCTGGCACTGGCTCACCCTTCTGGTTGGTATCTCTTATTTCTGAAACTCACTGAGAGAAGCTCATTTTCTCGCTTCTTCAACTCTCGTAAAATGTCTCTCCTGGGGCCATCCCACTGACACTGCAATTCTTTTATTCTTTCTGCCATTCACACTCCCCCTTATTGCACGTGCATGTGTGTGTGCTTGTGAATCTCCAGAGTACTCACCATCATACCATATAAAAATGTTAGTCACTCAGTCGTGTCCAACTCTCTGTGACCCCATGAATTGCCCACCAGGCTCCTCTGTCCATGGAATTCTCCAGGCAAGAATGCTGGAGTGGGGTAGCCATTCCCTTCTCCAGACCATCTCCCTGACCCGGGGATTGAAACCAGATCCCCTGCATTGCAAGCATATTCTTTACCATCTTAGCCACCAGGGAAGCCCATTTACAACTGAGTGAATAATACACACTTTCCCTATTTATTTTCTGTCTACACCTACTGAATACATTCCGCAGGGCAGGCATTTTTGTATCTTGTAACCAGATGCGTAAAATAGTACTAGATGACTGGTAATTGCTTTTTGAATAAACAAGTAAATGACTAACATTACTGCCCTGAGAATCCAGGGTGAGAGGTTGGAAAGAGGGGAAGGGGTGCATTCCTGACACCATGACACATGTGTGCGAGGGAATCCGAACTCTAGCCCCTTCCTCATCTCCATCCCAAAACACAAAAGATTTATTGTGAAGTTTGAAGAGTCACCTCATCAGAATCCTGAGAGGTTATCAGCCTTATATAATCATACCCCCCAAAGCCAATAATAAAACTGACACATAAGCCAGGTCTATTAAGCAATTCATGAGTCTCACTTGAATCTGTAATTTTATTAATAATGCTATTTCATGATTACCCAATCCTGACATAATGATTTTTTTCTATTTCCAAAACATATTATGCATTTGAGTCTCCAAAAGAATACTACACATATCCCAGAGATTCAAAACTATGACTTGTCTGGCTTTACGTCATGTTGGATGATGGTGAGAACCCTAGCTAATGGAATGAGATCAAGTGTTGGGACTGAAGTGTAACAAATAGGGTGCCAAATCAGAAAGCAGGGTGCGCATGTTTTTACTCACCTGCATAATTCATCATCTTGGCAGCTGTGAATTACTTCGAGGCAGGTGGGGGTTGGAACTCTGTTCACTGCACATGGCCTGCTGTGGAGTGCTTCTCTGGACTGTTGACAAGGCTCATCAGTGGGAGCACAGTCACAAAAAGCCAACATCTGGGCAATGTTAAACGGCATATTTTGATAGAAGAAGCGGATGGCTGCTTGGCAGTGTTTTACATCGCACAGATTTCCATTCGCTGAGCAAGCTTTCAGGTAAAGGGCCAGCTGAGCATTGCAGAGTGCATCCCCAACACAAACCTCTGCCACTTCCAGGCAGGACTGGACCCCTCTGCCTCCTAGAAGGAAGGGTACGTCCAAGTTGTGGAACAGTAAACAGAGAGCTGTACATACAGAATCTGCACAACACTATGAGAAACCCATGAGCAAAATACAACAATGTGCCCATATATTGCTTTTGGCAAATATTCCTGTTTATTTTGTTAACTTTTTTTTTTAAGAGTTGGTATAAACTTACTGGTCCTGAGCAGTGGGGTACTTGAACCATCTTTTATCTACACTGGACATGTATTATGATCCAGAAGTGGTGGGGAGTGTACAAGACCGAGACTGAACTGCAGAAAAAAAATCCTTGAGCCCAAGTTTCTCACCTGTAAATAATACATCTTTAGAAATTGGATTTGAATCTAGCTGATGGTGTGTTCAGTGGCTCAAATCAAAATGATCCTTGTTCTATTGCACTTTTTATTTGAAGGAGAAATCTTGACTAAAGTTTCCATGTAGCTATTCCAACATGTAAAAATGTTCACATTTTGGATCTAGTCTTTGTTTTTAATTGTGAGTATTTCTCCACACAACTGTAAATAAATGATAGATGAGCAAAATAGATGCTTTGAAATATTAGTGGAAGAAATGCAATGATGCAATGATTTGTTGCATTAAAATTCACATGACTCATTTTGTAATGACATATCTTGAAGAAGCCTAGTAACTACATTTCAAGTTATATTGTCCAGTATTCGCAATGCAAATCAAAATGACTGTTTATAAACATTACCATGATAGGGAAGAGTGCTTAGATTCCACTTGTATTTATTATCCTCTTTTATGTTATCTAGAAGGAAAAGAAAGAGACTATTTTATTAGTGAACAATTTTCTAAATTTAATAGGAGAATGTGGACAACATTTATCAATGAGTACTCCAATAAAAATACATATAAACTCATGTAACCCTTATTTAACCTTGGTACACAGAATTAGTGAGGTACAGATGAAGAAAAACAAACCACTGTAACATCATTCAAGTCAGCTAAACAGCTCTGCTCTGAGTATTCAGTTACTCGAAGATTTAAACAAATGCTAATGACTAGGCCATGTGCAGAGAGGTAAATAAAGAGTCTGTCTGGGGAGAAAGAACAGAAGAAATATTGTCTGAACCAAAAAACTCTTCCCGGTAAGGTCTTAATTAGATTGAAAGGCAATTTAAAGACTATTTCCACCTCTGACTATCTTAGCTTCCCAGAGTTTTTAGGAATTATAATTATAGAGTTGGAGAGGTTGATGACCATCTAATTCTAAAAATCTTTCATTCAAGAAACATTGGTCAAGTTCCCACTACATACCAGATGCCATACTGAAGACGAATTTTCAGTCCCTGTTGTCAAGACTTATATAGGAAATGGAGACATAAAAACAAAATCGAAATAAAACAGAAGGAGAAGTAATAGACATATGCATAAAATGATAGGGGAAGACTATGATCAGATTTTTATTTTGAAATGAAAATTCATTTTTTGCCACGGGCGGTTGATTAAGATATTGGCTTCCATTGCAGGTTATTGATTATGAGATTGATTTCTGTTATGGCATGTATCTCTTCATGATTCAGCTTGTACCGACTTGAGCTGTCGGTCCAAGCTCCCTGCCTGCCTATCTATGCACATATATGACAGGACAATCATAAAACAATTCTAAATCAATCATAAAACAATCCCAGAGATGTCAGACTTTCCAGACTCTGCATTGTGTCATCTGTTCTCATTATACATGGTTTTCATATTTCTACTGGTTACGTCTCAGCTAAAGAATCACTGTCTCTTCAGGAATCCACCTTCCTATGTTTCTGAGAAGTTCCTTCTTCTGTTCCATATTGAAGGAAATCCCAATAAGCAAATTTCAGAGAATCCTATAGCTTTTTTAACAGATACAAAAGTCTAGGCTAGCTAGACCTTCTATGATAGGTTAATAGCAGTGCTTTGGCACTGTTTGATATGACTGTGCCATTGTTTGAAATGTATTCAATAAACTATCATTAAAATATAAATAAACATTGAATTCGTTTATTGTTATGAACTAAATTTTGTTTGCTTCTAAGATTCATAAGTTGAAGCCTTAACTCCTGATATAACTGTACTGGAAGATGGTGTCTCTAGGGAAGTAATTAAGGTGAAATGATGTCCTAAATGTGGGGCCCTGATCTGGTAGGATTAGTGTTCTCATAAAAAGAGACATTAGTGAACGTCCTCACTCTTCCTGGCCACGTGTACACCCCATGGGAATGTCCTGTAAGGACCTGGCAAGAAGCCAAGGAATTTACAAGCCAGAAAGAGAGCTCTCACCAGAAACTGACTCTGCTGGACTTTGATCTGGAACTTCCAGTCTCCAGAATGATGAGGAAATAAATTTCTCTTGTTCAAGCCACCCAACCTCTGGTATTTTACTAGGGCAGCCCAAGTGGACTAATCCACTCAAAGTACTAGCAATTCTTATAAAAGCAATTGTTTTATCATGGGGAAAATAATTCTATCTTGGATCCATATTATTTTATGTAATATGAGTAATGCACTTTAATAAATTGTTTGCACATTGAATTCTAATTTCATGTAGTGCACACATAGGTATGTGTGCACATTTTTCCTGGAGAATATTGTAGACTGTAGCTTAATTGCTGGAAAGGAGCTAAAGAGCAGTATGTTGTGGGAGCACAGAGAAGCATGGGGCACCAGAACTTCATCTGTGTCGTATGATCACATATATCAAACAATGCACAGTGCTTATATATACCACATCTTTATCCATTCATCTGTTGATGGACATTTAGATTTCTTACATGTCCTGGCTGTTGTAAATGGTGCTGCAATGAACACTGGGGTGCATGTGTCTTTTTGAATTATGGTTTTCTCAGGGTATAGGCCCAGAAGTGGGATTGTTTGTCATATGGTAGTTCTATTTTTAGTTTCTTAAGGAACCTCCATACTGTTCTTCATTGTGATTGTACATATATACAATGGAATATTACTCAGCCATTAAAAAGATCAAAATTGGGGCATCTGTAGGAATGTGGATGGACTAGAGTCTGTCATGTAGAGTGAAGTAAGATGGAAAGAAAAAAAGAAATATTCTGTATTAACGCATATATGTGGACTCTAGAAAAATGGTACAGATGAACCCATTTACAAGGTAGGAATAGAGACACAGACATAGAGACACAGACATGTGGACATTCAGCAAGGAGGGATAAATGAAGAGATTGGGATTGATGTATGTGCATTAACATATGTAAAACAGATGGCTGGTGGGAAGCTGCTCTGTAGCTTGGGGACCTTAGTTTCGTGTTCCATGGTGACCTAGATGGATGGGACGGGGTTGGTAGGTGCAAGAGAGCTCCGAAAGGGAAGGGAGATACACACACACACACACACACACACACACAGCTGATTGATTTCATTGTACAGCAGAAGCTAACACACCATTGTAAAGCAACTATACCGTAATTTAAAAACACAGTGTTCCCTTTTCTTGTTCCACTCATATTGAAATATACGCCAACTCTGCTATCTTCTCACCCTTCTCCTTCTCTAGTCCAAGACACCATGCATCATCTACTGCCATGATCCCATTTGCCATCCATCAGTGAGTGACCTCCTGATTTATACCTGCTGCACAGATCTCACTCCTATGTGTCATGCAAAGCATTTAGGCTTCAGTTCCATACTGAGAGCTGTCTACTTGTCTACTTGATATTTCCACGTGGGTATCTAGTAGACATTTCCCACTGACCACATACCAGACTGACTCCTGACTTCTCCTCTGTCTCACTCCCAAAACCTCTTCTTCCTATAGTTGTTCCCATGTTAGTAAATGAAAATAATGGCAACCACATCCTTTCTAATTATTCAGGACCTTGGAATCAATATTGATTATTTTTTTTTTCCCCGCAGCCCCCTGTGATCCACTCATATCAAGCATACCAAGAGTCTGACAGCTGTCCACACTGTTCCATCAACCATCATCTTTTTGCTGCATCATTATATAAACTTCCTAATTGGTCTTCCTACTTGGGCATTTGCTTCTCTTCAGTCAGTTGTCAACACAAAATCCAGAGTTTTCCTCTTAAATATATACATCAGACCATGACACTCCCCTGGCTCAAACCCTTCAGTGGTTTCCTGTATCACTAAGAGTAAGTGCCAAAGGTTTTGAAACCCACAAAGCCTTTCATGATCCTGCCCCTATTTTATTTCTGGTCTCATCTCCTGCACCTCATCCCCTGCTCTCTCATCTCTACCCCTACTGTCATCTTTGCGCCTCCTCAAGCTTCCAGACCATGCCCAGCTCACCTTGAGCTACTTCTGCTGCCTGAAGTGCTCTTTCCTAAAATATCCACATGACTCATCCCTTGCCTCTTTCTATCTTTACTCAAACATTAATTTCTTCAGAACGACTTCCTGGCCATCCTATTAAAATTACAAACCACCCACTCAGACTTCCTTTTTCCCCTACCTGTATAATTTTCCTCCTTAGCATTCATACTGCTTATTTTTTTAATCTAATTTATGTTTTATATTTTATTGGAGTATAGTTAATTTACAACATTGCATTAATTTCAGTGTACAGCAAAGTGATTCAGTTATACATATGCACATAGTGATTCTTTTCCAGGTTGCTTTTCCACATAGATTCTTACAGAATTTGGGGGAGAGTTCCCTGTGCTACTCAGTAGGTCCTTGTTGGTTACTTATTTCATTTATAGTAGTATGTGTATGTTAATCCCAAGCTCCTCATTTATGGCCCCATACCACCATATTTCCCCTTTGGTAGCACTCATTCTGTCACACCATTTAAAATATACCCTCCAAATCTTTTATCTTATTAATATGCTTTTACTGAATGTTACAGTCTACAAGATCCCCGCTTTGATGATCTTGGTACTCACTTTCCCAGGTGCTGGTCTTCGTCCAGCAGTGCCCCATCCAAGGGAAGCTGCCACACCCAGGGGGACAGACTTTCCCAGGGGACAGCTCCTATCTAAGGACTAGTTCACATGAGGGGCTCAAAGAGGCAGCATCTCTAAAGGGCCATTCCAGGGCTAAACTTCTTGTGAAGTCAACTAAGTTTGCTGTGGTCATTGCCTTGCATTTCAATTTTTCCCACCCCCTAATCCTGCTTGTCCCACTTCATCCTAGATTTTGTTCTTGAGCCCCCAGCCTAATACTATTTTGTATGCAAACCTCTGTCTCAGAGTCTGTTTCCAAAGAAACTAACCAAGACACTCCTCAGTTAAGAATATAAGGTCCTAGAGAACAATGATCTGTGTGTGTGTTTGTGATTTTTGTTTGCTTTGTTAACTGTTTTTTCCCCAGGTCTTAGAACACAGCCAAGGACATGGTAAGCATCAAAGAAATATATGTTAAATAAATAATCATACTTACTATATTATCTATTTTTTTAATTTTTAACTCCCTTAAAAACAGCAAGTTTTAAAATGAAGGGCAGTGTTATTATTACTGCATTGTTTTTTTTTAATCAACCAGACTTAGGACTTAGCACATTTTCACTATCTTATAAGTACTTGTTCAACAAATCGATGAATAAAACTCACATTATTTTAAAACATTTTGGCATTTCCCTCTTTCTTCATATCTCTTTTAGATATAGTCATAGTTTGGTTTTTTTTAATTTCACTTTCTGGGACAAACGCAGTCAGAAATGACAGAGCTGGAATCAGAAATTACTCTTTAGTCAGTTGGCACTTGTGATTATACTTAAGATGCTAAAATTCTTCCCTTAAATACTGACCTGAAACAATGCCCACGTTGAGTTCATTTTCACTG